AAGAAAAAAAAATGGTGGAAAAACACTTAAATTCCAACACCGTTTCTTAAGAGAATACATCGAATCTTATGAAAAAATCGATGAGAAACCCACACGAGTAAGCATTTCGAAGAATTTTCGTCAGAATTTTCGAATATTTAGTTATAGTTTTTCGAGAAAAAATGAGGAAACTATTCGATCATTCGAGAACGCTTAGCGCATCATTACTGTTACTGAGTTACTGTTATCTCGAAGAAAACTAACGTTTGCTTCTCTAAAAATCTAATGGGACTAGTAAGGCCATCAGTGGTTTATGAGAAATTTGTCCAGAAAAATATTTTTCGATGTTTTTGTTTTTCCTTTTTTTTTTTTTTTCTTAGAAAAAGAGAGAAATATGTCTAGTACAGTAGTCCTTTTATTGATCAGATTTTTGAGTTGTTGCAGTTTATTAAGAAGAAGATATAACAATGTTATCTAAGAAAGGAAGGAGGGCGAAAAAATAATATATATATATATAAAGCTACGGGCTAGAAATTCATTATAGAAAAATTGTACTGATCGGTTTTCGTGTTTCTTAGATGCGAGGGAGTGAAATGATGTTTGGGAGTTTCGTAAGAGATAACTCCACCTTCATTCACAACACAAAGAAAATTCATTTAGAGGTGGATCAGTGATAGAGTTTATAAAGTAACTAAGCATGAAACTTTTAATATATCTTTTTTACTTTGATATATTTCTATGAAAAAATTAAATAAAATATTCAATTTGGTTAAACAAAAAGACGGAGAAACAAATTTACATTTTTATTCTACATTTTTTTTTAAAGAATCTATCATAAAATTAAGTTAAAATTTTTATTTAAAATAAATAAATAAATAAATTTTCGTGTGTGGAGTTATTTAGGAATAAATTTAAATGAATAAATAAAAAATTAATGTTAAAGATTTGTTAATTTTTTAACGTTATTATTTATCTAGCAAAATGATTTAAACAAAAGAAAGTATTAAAAAATATCTTCACTAGAATTTGTGAAGATATTCTTAAAACAATTCTTCTTACTATTCTATAATTATTCTTTTATGAAATATTCTTGAAACTTGATTAGTTTCAAGAATTGCTTTACTGAAATAATTGCAAGAATGTCTTTAGATAATTGTTTCAAGCATAAATAGCTTCAAAAATATCTTCACATTATACCTCATTATTTCTGTAATTATCAACTCTGTTTTAGTTTTGTTGAAATTGTGTGGATAGACATACGTACAGAATGGTTTTAAAATAACATTTCTCCAATTCTAAGTTTCTATAAATTAGTAAACATTGGAATTGCGATTTGATATAAAATTTTATAAATTACTGACCTTTTAAAGTTATTAATCAAGGAAAAAAATTACAAATTTCAAACAAATTAAAGCATTAACCTCGGTTGAAAATTATAAATTAATTAACCATAGAGAAAAATGTTTTAAATTTCAAGAATATCTTCGCTTTATTTCTCTTGATCGACTTTTTAATTAAGCAATTTAATTTATAGTTATACAAATAACCGAGCTGCCACATTCCAAATAAACACATTAATTTTCTTAAATTTAATTTAAATATAGAATGTTCTAGAATAAATTAAATTAATTAAATTTATCTTATTATAAATGTCGATTTATCAGGTAAATTATGTTAAAAATTTCAGTTTTTTAACGTCGAGAATTTATTTGTAAAGGAGTTTTATATATGAATTTATAATTTAATTATTTATTATATAAGTTTAATTGATGAGGAAACTTTTAAAAATGTCTGGTAAAAATTAAATATGTAGTAGTAACAAATAATATCACTTACAAATTTAATTATTGTAGATTTTCAGAAATTTTGCGAATAGACAAACGGAAGGATGAACGTAAAAGAGGATTACAAAAAAGCATTACTCTAACTCTTTTAGTTTTAGAAAAAAAGTAGAGTTTTGCATTTAATGGTGCCATGGAAGTAATATAAATCAGAGTTGCAAGTTGATACGAAATTCTGCAGAGAGAGTTTATACATTACAATTTCTGAAAATATCAATCTTCTAGCTCTTCTAGTTTCCGTGAAATCTTATTGTTACAAGGTTACAGTTCGATACGAAATTTTATAAAGAAACTACAGTACAGTTTCTAAATGTATTAAACCTCTAACTCTCTTAGTTTCGGAGAAAATATACAGACAGACAAACTTACAAATAGATTACAGAACAACATCTCTCTAATTCGCTTGATTTTTGAGAAAATTAAAGTTTTACGTTAAAACGTGTTATAAAAGTCGGAATGACGATTCGATACAAAATTCAATTTAAAAAAAAAATAAATAATAATAATATCAACTTTACATATCGCTAACTTTGCACGGACAGACACACAACCGTTCGAATGTATGAGGAAAGCGAATAGGGAAAGCTATTTTATATTTAAATTACAAAAAAAATAGTTATTTGAGACTTTATAACTTAAACAAAATTTACATATCAAGCGCAGAGAAAAAAGTCGTGTTGCCAAACTACACCCCCTATCTATTGACTAATTTTGAGAACCATTAGCCAATCAAAATCATAAAGTAAAGCATAGGCAAAAAGTAGAAACAGAGACGAATGTTAGCAAAGTAACAGGACCAAGATGAATGAATGGTGACTTGTCTGCAGATGTGACAAAATGATGTATTTCCTCTCGCATTACCTTTTCACCTCATCAAAAATGAAGGTAGTTGAATATAATGGTCTTCTCCTGTAGCCCAATTATGTCTGGACACAAGAAAACTAAGTAGGAGGAATGGCTAGAGTAGAAGGTTAAGAAGAAGAAGAGAAGAAAAGGAAAAAAAAAATTATATATATAATACTATCCATTTTGTGGTATTTTTGAATATATATCTTCTTGGAAGAAAGTTTTAAGAAGTAAATTAGTGTTTTCTTATCTATTTTATAAAATGAAAAGTTTAAAAAGATGGAGATTTTGATTGATGGATGGATTCTTGATCGCTTAGTATCAAATCTAAAGCTTCTACGATACTCTAGAGGGATGATAAAATGATGCTGATGATGAACAAGCTACTAGTAAAGACACTAAAATTCTCGTTTTTATCCAAAAAAAAACTTTAGAAAACTTGGAATTTTTCTATACAAAATGCTTTAAAAAGTTCGATTTATGTGTATTATCACTTGTTATTTATTTTTTTATTTTATTTGCGGAAAAAATTAATATAATTTTATTTACTTTTTAACTTGTTTAAATTATTTAAATTTAATTTTTATTTGTTTTTATTTATTTATGGTTATTTTAAATTTATTTATTTTTTATTTTCATTTTATTCTTATGGGAANAATGGTATTATTTATCTTTAAAATATATATTTATTTATTTATTATTCTTTTTTAAATATTTTTGTAAATTTTAATAATTTTAAAATAAAATATACATTTATCTTCTTAATAAAAAATCATTAAATGATAAATTGTACAGGATATTTAATTAAAATATCTTTATTCGGTGTTATTTGCAACAAAAATGAATGTAATAACTCAATAAATTTTAGAATTACACTTTTTAAAATATATGAAAACGAATATCTGAAAAATTTACTTCCAAAAGTTATCACCAGGTACAATTTGGCGCTATGACTCCGAGGAAATCGCTATATATAAATAATTTGATTAATTTTACTGTTACGTAAATCAATCGTAGACTTTTTATTAAAACGTTGACTTTATTTACTTTAATATATTTCTGCATGTACTGTACTGCACTGTACTGTACAGTACATGAATATACAAATAGAAGAAAAACACGCAAAAGAATATAGGCCTATTTCTATTTTTATTCTTGTTATTGAATTGTAAAATTTACCAGATTCAGTGCATAGCACGTTAATAAATACATTACATAATGAATTATATAGGACAATGTGGTGCCATTCTCTATTTCTTGTCGCTCACTGCGTCATTTTTTCCCTAGTGGTGAATTTAGGAACTATACTCTCACGCAAAATTCCTTTCAAATGTCATGAAACGTCTGTATAAACTTTTCACAGCGACTTAATTAGTGTTTATACACACAAACTTTGTTTAAAAATCATAAAAATATAAAATTTAAATAAAATGTGGAGAATTAAGCGCATAAAATATATTGCTGAAAGAATATTTTAAGTACTTTATTCTGGATTCGCAGTTAAAAAATAGATTTATTTCTTCCACTAAAACTAAGGAGGAAGAAATAAATTCTCGAAAATAAGATTTAAAAGCAGAAAAAATAGTTTTATAGGAAATAAACACTAATGTAATATATTTAAAATGGTGTACATGATAGAATTCCCAACATAAAAGGATATATTCAACGACTGATGAAACCCTAGAGGAGTAAATGACGATATAAATTCAAATTATACAAACAATATCCCCAAGTTATATTAATATTATTACTCCTAAAATAGGGACATAGCAGTAATATTACTTGGGGTGCTCTTACTTGGGAGAATTGTATAATATACCAAGTTGTATTCCCAAGTCGAGATGTAATATAATTATTTATATAAACCGGTTAAATGCAATTTGTACGTGGCTTCGATCAGACAACCTACGAGAATTAGAGTTAGAAGAATATCTTTAAATAAGATTCTGTGGTATATTCTAAAGGGATATAAAAGTAATTCCAACAAAAATAAGAATAATAAAATTGTAAGTAAAGTGTAGAAAGATCGAGTTTATTTTAAACTATTCTCATTAAAAGTAGTAGATTTATGATGTTCATTAGATGTTATCTCATTTTCGAAACCTTTAACAATTGATAAAGAGAAGAGAAAATCTCGTTAATTTTCGCTTGACTGAAGAAAATTGCTGTAAATTTACGTCGTTTAACATCATATTGCCTTATTAAATGCGTCATAAATAGTACCGGGAGTAAAATTTACAAGTAAATTAAATGCTTTACTAAAGACAAAAATCTGAATTCAATCGGAAGAACGAATGATTATTATATGTTATAAGTAGGATAGATGTAACTTACCTCCCTCCGAGTGCTGGAAAATGAGGGAAACCGGGCGAAAAATTGGGAATTGTCACAGGTGGAAGTATACGACCTGTAGAAAAAAAATGGGAAACAAAATGTGATTAAAGTTCATTGACTGGAGAAATCAATGGATGCGTGAAAATATGCTTATCGAAGAAAAAATCTGATCAATCACTTTCTAAAACGTGAAAGAACTCGCGTGACAGATGGTTTACGTTACCCCTGATAGTTCGCTTCTTCTCTAGGCAGAATCCATCTACAGAATCGTACTCCTCAAGAATTTTATTTTTATTTTTTTATTTTTTTCCTGTGATAGCAAAAGTTGTATCTGAACTATTTTGTGGTTCCAAACGTTACCGAATTACTTACACGTGGATATTCAAAAATGCATCCGAAAATATTTCACTGGGATCTTCAGATATATTGTAATGTAACCTCATAAGAACGGGAGGATTGTATGTAAAAGTGGATAAGAAATGATATTTTGCAGTTACTAGATGGAAAGAAATAATTTTTTTTTCTTTAAGAAGTATTACACAGATGATAAATTGAAAATTTTTTATATATTCCTCCCTCTGATGCCATAAATTGTAGTTCAATTAAGTTTCTTCCACCATTCAATTTATTAGTCTCTTCTCTTATTTTCTGCTATTGAGTACGGATGATAACGTATTGTTAGGAGCTTAAAGTGTGTAAAATTAATGAAAAATTAGAAAAAATAAACAGTCTTTAGTGGGGAAAAAAGGTAAATAAACTGAACATAAAAGAAAATTTTCAATTGCTTTACTTTTTTTACGCTTACTAAAATAATTAAAATGCAGGCAACTCATTAAGAAAAATCTATAAAAAAAAAGGAAAGAGGGGTCTGATATTATTCGTAATTCCTTTACAAATAATTCAACTACACCTGGATGCATTGTTTCATTATAAGAAATAAATTCAATTAACTTGTTCATAAAAGAATGAAGTAAAGAGAGAGATTTCTAAATTAGAATCTCCAATCTGAAGTTTTGGTAGTAGCAAGGAGATAAGAAGACTTAGAAAGAATCATTAATCATCAACTGATATCTTGGGATACAGAATTGCTTAGATACAAGAAAGAAGAAGATTATAAGCGACCTTATGGATTTAATTTTGTGATATCTTCGTTGATATCCGAAATTAAATCAATAGATATATAATTTTATATACTGAAAAATCCATTATTTAGTACTTGATTATTATTAGAATCAATATTACAGAACAAAGATTTTTTTTTCTTTTTAATTTTGTAGCCAAGTTTGTTCTGTAAGTCATTTCGATTTTAGAAAGTCTTCGAAATGAAGTAAATATTGACATTTCATTTATCTATACAAAGACCTTTCGAATAAATAGGAAGCAAGTTGAAAGGATTGCAATCCAAGGGATTTGCCAATAATGAATGAATCTCTGACTGTTTAATAATGTATAAACTAACCTATTTTACTTAATAATAGCAATATTTACAAATTCATTTATAATCTGCATTATTATATCTTACTTTAAATTGTTATAGAAGCTTCATATCTGTCATCATCGCATCAGCATCGCTAATATTCATAACACTTATTTATCGGAGCATTCATGATTCAGATTTATCTATTATTGTTATGTATTATTGCTTATTTTGATAATATTCTTAGTTGTCAGATTATATTATGTTCCCATTTACAATATCCTCGATTCATATTTATCATTTTTCATCATATACAGCATCATTTACTTTCCTAATCATCTTCAATTAAGTTTAAAGTGTTAACATTCAGAGCATCTATGATTTAAATTTCTCTCTTATCATCGTGCGCAGCATCATTTACTTTCATAATCGCTTGACAGATACAGTACAGTACTCAACTTCTCATTTAATGCATCTTTGATTCAGATTTGTCCCTTATTTTTCATATACAGCATCACTCACTTTTATAATCATGCTTAGTTAATAGATGCTATGTTTAACTTTGCATCCTCAGCATCCATGGTTCATATTTATCCATTATTATCGAATATAACATCACTTATTTTCATGAGCATCATCAACTGGGAGATGTTTCATTAACTTCTGATTCAGATTCAGCCGTTATTTTCATACGTAACCTTTAGTATCATTATTTTCATAATCATCTACAGTTGATAGATGTAATGATTATTTCTCAAGTACAGCATCCATGATTCAAATTTATCCGTTATTATCATATACATCATCACTTATTTTCACTTTCATTTCCGGTTGATGGATAAAGTGTTAACGTCGCTTCCACAGCATCCCTAATTCGAATTTATCTATTATTATTATATTCAGCATCACTTATTATATATCTACTAAACGAGAATGATAAGGAATAGTTATATTTCTTACCATTCTCGTCTAGTAGATATATTATACAGAGCAGGTAAGATGCATATTTTCATAACAAGATATAAAAATTTCTTAAGTTACATACAATTCGATTTAATATAATCGATAGGTAAACACAGAGAAAAGTTTTCAAATTTTTTTCACTAAAGTAGCCCAATAAAGAAACGATGTATGTGTTTAGATAAGGAAGCACTCCCTATCTTTTCTATAGAACTGTATGCACGCATCCTGAACCAATTCAAAGCTGGCATATTTCGTTAATGACGCATCCTTAGCAAACCTAAGAGACAACACGTCATTTTAGGGAAAGTAAATTGAATTTTCGCATTTTATTAGAGGAAAGAAAATCAAATTTCGGTATTTTCAATGCATTACAAACAATTCTTACTCTTCAATGTATTGAATTGTGAAAATACAGAATTCGATGATTTTATTACTACAAAAGATTCTTTTTTTTTTCTTCTTCTTCTTCTTCTTTTTTCTATTCATTATAAAAAGATTCTATACAACGGAATAATAATGTTCCTTCAGAGAAACGAGATTGAAAGTTGTTTTTTTTTTTTTTGGTTGTTAAAACAAACCAAGACAAGTTGATGTGACTTAACTAAGTGAACGGAACTTTAATAAACTTCCTCCCTCCCCTTTGATTACATTTAGTTTTGCAAAATATGGGAACCAAGCTTGATTGAAAATGAAAATTAGCATAATGTTTATCTATTAACTGTACTAATTCTTTGTATAAATGATTAACTGTACAGATAATCATAAATGGAAATTCTGTTCATGACAGCTTATTTTTCATTTAAATTCTTCTTATACCCCCCGTTAACATACTTTAAATTCTATTACAGTCATCTTGAAAGACCTATTAAACTAATGTTAATTTATATAGAGAAATAACCCCAATTTAAAAGTTTGGAAAACTTTTTTTATTGTTTTTAATTATTTTAAATGATACTTTTTCTTCTATTTTATGACTTATAGTAAATTAACAAATATCTAGAGTAATTTATATTAAAAAATAAAGAATTGTGGGGTTTTATATATATATACCTGCTTTGACCATCAAAATTCCAGTAGTGTCCACTAAATGACGGCCATTATTAGCTTCGCATTTATAGTAACCGGTATCGTGTATGTCCAGATGGTTGATTTTTAGTCTGGACCACACTCTTCCATTGCCAGAACTGTAATATCTCACGTCAATTCGGTTCCTCTCTTCTTGTAAAGGAGCTTCATTTTTATACCATCGAATATAAGGTTGAGGGTAACCTTTGACTTCACACCTCATCTTGACGCTTTCACCCGAATCTTTTGTGATGTTCACTAGAGCTCTTTCCACCTTTAGAAAACCTGAAACCAATTAAAATGTTAATTAAGTAAACTTTTAATTACATTTCTTAAAACAGAGAAATGAACTTTTCTCTTATTTGTTACGTCTGAAGAGATCGGTCATTAATTCGTGATTATAATCCAACCTTGGGTACAGATTTGTGGGGGAGAAATACTTTCTCGTTTAATAATGCACAAAATTTAAAAAAATACGAAAAACTACATTTTATAAGTTACAGTCTGACAGAATCAATTAAAATAGTCTCATTAACTTCGGTTTACCATTTGTTCTCCTCTGAAATTGGCACTAAATCGAGTGTGGCGCTAAACTGAAGTATTTCAAATAATAAGAGTTTATATGAGGGCTACACATTACTTGAAAGTAACTAACGGAATTAATGAGGTTATAATATTTCAAATTTTGCTTTCACTATTCTCAAATCTACTATAGTTTCATTATCTGACAACAATAAAACAAGATTTATTATCTGATGTGGAACTCCTGTAATTCCACTAACACTAGTTTCACTAAAATGAGAATAGGCCTAACTGATGAAACTAATTTCATTATCTGAAAATCTCTAACGTTTTCCTAGTTTTCTTATCTCCTAGTAAAGAAACTAGATTCATTATTTGAAATTAACCAATGTAACTGTTCCCATTATTCGAAAGTAATTACTAGAACTAATTGTGCTGTATTGAGATTAATTATTTTTTACTATCTGAGAATAAGTAATAATATGAATTTTACTAACTAAAAGCAACTAGTTTCATTCTCTAGTACTGTGGTAGCTGGTTTCATCAATTAAAAATACATTGATTTTCAGTTTATTTTTGAGAACAACTACTTTAGTTTCATTACACGAGAGTTATGCTAATCGAATTAAGAAAGGAAACAAGTAAATGACGACATTTTGCATAATTTAATTAACAAAAAAATTTATTTCATTCCATAAGAATCTAAAATTTAATGTTTTAAGCACTTAGTTTCTTTATGTTCATGTCTAAACCTTATACCACAAAAACAGGCTTAAATAATGCATTCAGATAATCTTTTAAATGTGTTCTAATTATAAAATAATAAGAGAAATCGATATTGATATATAGAGTGATCCAAAACTCAGTTAACCATCAGTCCTTCTATCCACGAATGTACTTGGAGCATACAGAACAACGTGGTAAACCGACTTTTGGGCCGCCTTGTACTTTTTAAAGAGTATAACAATTAGAATAGTTTCAATAGTGGAGTATCTTTACATAAACAAACATTTGGAATTAAAAAAAAAGAAAGAAAGTATAAGCACATATAAATGTTTGTATATCAGTGTTGGCAGCTTGAGATCTTAAAATAGATATTAGCCAACAGCACACTAATTAATTCGGCAAATGCATTCTGTTGAAAACTTTAATAATGCACGTCTGTAATTCATTAAAGATAACAAGTCTGTATTGCAGAGAAGCTGTTACATCTTTGTAATGCTCAGGTGGAGTTTATTTAATTTTCTCTTTAATGGAATTGGAAAATCCTGTTAAGAATTAGAATATTTCCTTTAATTGTTTCCATTTAATATCAAGATTAACAGAGAATAAAATAATTAAATTTTTATCTTTCACGGATATTATGATCTTGAGAAATTATATTGTATGATTTATCAAGATCATAATATATAGGGCCACTAGGTTAGCAGTTCGTTCTAGCCTCAGGTGCCGCAGCGGGCACATTTAGTTATGTTATGATGATATTGCTGACATATATTGTGTGGAAATTATGTTGAGATATACTGCGATATTACCATCTCGACAGATTAAATAACAGTTTTTATTCATTTATTTAATAATAACTGCTATTAAGGCTATATTCACTGGCAAAGAATTTGGCCCGCTACAACATCCATACAAAATTACTCAAAGAAAATATATAAATAAACATTAACGATAGAAAATTGTATGCCCTTTGATATAAAAAATAAACAAATAGTGCCGTATGAACAATTTTAAGATATTATTAAAATATTATTATTAATTTTAAGATATTGTCGTTTGAACTGCGTTAAAACATTTTATGGCAATTATATTAATATGTTTCGAAATGATATTGCTGAAATATATTAATGATATTGCGTGGTTTATAAAGATAGTAAGCCTATTGTGATATTACGACGTCAGATACCTCTGAAATTTATTAGGATTTTTTTTTTTTTGTATTGATGTAAAACTGTACTCTATAATCTACTTATGAAAAATCCCCCTTAAATAATTAAATAAAAATGTATTGATGTAATTATTTGTCTCCAAGCTTTTCCTGCTGATGGAAATTATTTTAAAGTATACTTTGATACTATTGAGATGATATTACAGTTGAAATCGTATATAATCACCTCGTTTATTGACACAATTAAAACCAATTGTCATTTTCATTTTATATCACAAGGATATTTTGAGTTTTTTTCCATTGTCTACTAATTATCATTAATATGGCGATAATCTTTGCATTTTCTCACTTCACTATATTTGAAAAAATTATCGAGCAGAGGATTATGTCACGTGACTAAATTTGCATATGGAAGCGGATTAAGATTCCTTTTTCTTCAGTTGAATGTCTTTCTTTCATGTTTTATCTTTGTAAATACGTCTTTTGATTATGCCCGAGTGTAAAAACGTGATAAAATATATCGACGCAAATATATTTGGAAAAATCTGATTACTGAAACCGAATTAAGTATGAAATCATTGCCGCATGTATTGACTCTCTAAGCTAACATTTTCTAATGATCCATCAACTGCATGCAAAATTTACAAATGTAAACTGAGAGAAATAGCCATTTGAAGCAATGTAATCGAAAAACACAACGTCAAAGATAGATGCTGATACTACATTGCATTGATAGTTTTTTAGACTGGCTACATTTTACAATTACTGATGAGATTTTTCTTCTGAAATAGAAAACTTTGCTCGGAACCTTGAAATTAATAGTTTTATATCCAACAATAATTGGTGGATCCATGGGAGAAGCGATATGAAATTGTTTTAAATGACTACGAATTTACTTCAATTTCGATAAAGATGCCGAATGTGTCGAGTGATTAAACGACGAGAGCATTTTGATTGTAGTAACAAATAGATATTTGTTTGATTGTAGTACTCTTACTCTGACATCGAGTGACGATAGTGATGACTTATAAAATGATAATTCTATGAATTCTATAGCACAAGAAGGTTCTTCATGGATTTTTATCAAATAAAGAGGACAGCATTTAACCCAGTTGAAGTGGCAAGTGCAATGTAATATTTTTTAAATACAACTAAAACACGCCAAATAACACAAGTGGTTGCAAAAATCGTAAGAAAGTTATTTCGTTGCATAAAGATGTAAGTATAGATTTTCTATTTCAGTATATTATATAATTATAAAAAAAATCGATTTATTATTACCAATTGGGTTATAGTAAGTGAAACCTATTTAATGTCACGGTTTGAATAATGTTTTTGTAGGATTATGGACATTAAATTATGTTCGTCTGTACTAAGATTTAATTAAATATTAAGATGCTAATTTGCTTGAGATATGTTAAAATGCTATCACTGAGTTATTGTTACTAATAAGACAAGAAACTACACCTTGCCATCAGTATTTGAATTTGTTAAGTAGTACTGTACGTACTTTCGGTCTAATCTAGACCATATGTTAATGTTACAGACAATTTATTCTAATTCTAATGATAGAAAATGGACTAGATTAGACCAAAAGACGTAGTTATTAATAAATTTAGATGCTGATAGCAAGTTCTATATAGCCTACATCGAACTTCATGATTTTGCTGATATCTTAAAATACTAATCGCAGATATAATGCTAAAATTATTAGTGTTAAGCAGTTGTTGGGGCATCAGTACAATTTTACAAACACAGATTTAGAGGTGATAAAAATTTAATAGGTAAAGCATACCAAATATAGTTGATATTCTCGATTTTCTTAAATTATTTAAACGAATTCAAAACAGTTATAAATGCAAATAGCAAAATTGAACTTTAATTAAGATAATAAATAATTAAACAATTCTAGACATGCATTAATAACGATAATACACGAAGAGTTATGTTTAATGATATATTTTATATGTGAATCATTCGAATAGCATACGTTTAAATCGATTAATACCTTGACTTATCATAGTTTGTAGTTTATGAATATAATTCCCAGAGATAATGATTGGTAGTAGTAATAATTAAAACATTTCTGAATGTAATCCTTCTAATGCTTCCAGATAATTAATTGATGGAGTTGGAGGGGAGTTATTGAACTCTTGAATTTTTCAATGAATCACTAATATTTTATGAACCACTTTATGCCAATAAAATAATGGTTACAATGTTTAACTATTCTGACATTTGATTCGTTTAAATTTTTAATTGTTTGATGACATTCTTAAGCGCACGTTCTTCAAAATATCATCAGATACAGTGAACTTGAGTCACTAATAATACGTTGAGTGAACGTTTAACAAAATCTTCTTTAAAATAATTTAAATTAAATTTTTCAGGACTTCTATCGAAGGCTTTTTGTTATTCGATGAAGCTTGAAATTGTTGGGAATGTTTTTTTTTATTAAAAAAAAAAGATTTGTAATTCGAATCGTGCTTTGCGTGTCTTTGTGTGTACCAATACACTTTACTATGTACCGTGTACAATATTGTAGCTTTCGTGCAGTGCATTATTTAGTTGCTACAAGAGGTATCTCACATTTAGTTTGTACACACCAAACAACTGGGTCAAGCGTGACACGCAAAGGGGAGTTTGAAATGGAATTCGAAACTCCTCTTTATGATGTTAATATAATTTACTAGACTTTGACGATTATGTCCATTTTTCACTTAAAAATCTTTAAAATTCCACTGGAAAATTAACCTTAATGATCCTTACATAGAATATTTACCACTGTGTGTTATGAATTTACCAGCAGCAGATGGATAAATTTATAAATTAAACTAAATCCTTCAATATTAAACATAGTGATAGGGATAATTGGGATGATAAATTATTCACGTTCTACTTCTCTATTCTGATGTAAGTGCTTCTGATAAGGCTATATATTATCGTAGAAGAATGCTTCACTTTCTTATGAATGTTTACTGCATCTATATCATTTTTACTGGCTCTGCATCGATGGTAATGGAATAACTTACTTTGCGGTTTGTCTTCTTCCAGATTACTTGTGGGAGACGAAACTGCTTCTGTAATTGTACTGCAATAAATAAAATTAATATTAAAGTAAATCATGAAATAAAAACTAGTTTATTTTTAAAATTAAAAGTTAGAGAATGCTTATTTTTCTTTATTTAAATTGCCAAACAAAAATTGTAAGAAGTTTATAGATTTGTTACGGAGTTTGGCTTATATTAATTCAATTTTCGTACTAAATTCTTGTCTTTACTTTATTAAAGATTTCTGAAGCAATTTTCTTCTATCTGAACGTTAAATCTAAATTGTTTTTGGCAATAATTACATATAAAAATATAGAGTAACGGAAGATGCACCATTAGACAGTATTATAGAATGGCTTGATGTATGACTGAATGGAATATTTTAACAAAATAATTAAACGATATTATAGAAAAGATTTCCTTTCTAATATCAATATCTAGATGAATAATGATTCTTAAGAATATTAATTATTCTTACGGACATTTTGATCAATGTTTGGGTTATCAGATTTGATGTTCAAACACCATTATCCAAATGAGAAAAATAATGGAGATTTATGAATCTTTAGATTTATCTTAATTATATAATCAAATTGTCTCACGTTATTATTTAATTTAATCTACTTTTTACCTTTCTACATCAAGAAAAATGAATATTTGTTAATTTTTTTTAAATATTCGGCTTTAAAATTTAACAATTTTTATATGCAGGATGATTACTTTAAACCTTTATAACTTTAGAGGTATACGTGATAGAAAAACATCGTAAACGAAAATAAAAGCTTAATTCTTAAAGTTTTACTCTACTGAATAGCCTTTATAAACTTCAATTCTGTTAGCCATAACACGCAATCAATCATCCCTTAGACCGTCGCCATTTTCAACCAATTAAATGAACTAAAAGTAAATTTAAATAAATTAATAAAATATTGACTATATTAATAAATAAAACTTCAGAAATTAAGCTTTTAAGTGCCATTTACAGTGTGCTTCTATCACGCTTACATCCAAAGTTACTAAGCTCTTTATAATCTATCCTCTTACTCATTCTGCATCTGGAAATAAAGCAAATTCGTTGATAACATTTATATTTATCAGCGTAAAGTTTAGTAATTTCTAACAGTTAATCAAACTTTTGAAAAGAAAAAGAAAAAAAAAGAGGAAGAAGAATTTAAATTTGAAAGGTAAAATCTGAATAACAAATGGAAGCTAGATTGAGTACAGAATAACTTTTTGATTGCATCTTCTATAGATTTACAGGTTCTAATTAATTCTGTTTGAAAAATCAGACATTTGAAAGAGTCGAAGAGTTTTGCTTAGTATAAAAATATTTTATTTTTATCTAATGGTCCAAGGAAAGAATAGGTTAAACGCTACATTTTGCGTTTATAAAATAAAAAAAAAAAAATGTGATCGTTTAAGGAAAATCGTCTTTCGAGACCTGATGTCATCTGCTTGGGTGAACGAAGAGACCCAATTTTACATCGATCCAAGCTATACTTTCAGGTAAATACTGAAACGGCCATTTACCATTTCCACTCACTGAATTTTTCCATTATCTTCAATCAACTTTAGCATAGGGAAAAGGAATTTAGCCAGTTATGTGGATATAGCATACATATATATACTAGCCTGGAAAATCTTATGTACTAAAAGAAGTGAATAATTTAAAGAACCGGTTAGAGAAACCTTTTAAATTTGATAAATTTAAGCCATCGTTATTTAATGTAACTTTTCGAGCACCTTTCAGGTGAGTTATATAATACATTTTTTCTTCAGTGTATATGGAGAGAAACCAAAGTAGCCCATTATTTCTTCAACAAATATGAAGCAATTTTTGTATAAAATTGCTTAAAATTTTGAAAAAAAAAAAGACAAATTTTATACAGTATTTTGTTAAATTTAAGAATCTTTCGTTAATATCTTCTCTTTATTTTTTAATGGTATTTTAAGCATCATTTATGCATTAATTCCTGCATCAGATAACTATACGAGTTAAGAATGTAGAGCAAATTTTTTCCATAAATCTGCTTAAAATTTTGAAAAAAAATGGAAAAATTTCGTAAATTATTTTGTTATAAATTTAAAAAATTTTTCACTAATAGTCTCTCCTTATTTATAATGATATTCTAAGCATCATTTATGCATTAATTCCTGCATTAGTTAACCATACAAGTTAACATTATGCTAATGGAACTTTAGGCAGAAAGTATAATAAATTATACAGAAAAAAAAATTTACCGAAATCAAAAAAATATATTTAAAAAAATGCTCTAAAAATGTGGAAATTTCTAACCAAACCGCATGCAATATTAATCATGCGGGAATGAAGAAGTGCATTTAATTTATAGGAATGCAACAGAAAAAAAATGTTCTTAGAAGAGATTCGTTACAGTAAAAATATATATTTTTCATCAAAATCCATATTTTCTTTACGTATAGTCAGATACAACTTTATATAATTTTTTGTCATTCATGAAAGAAGTATGAACTAGCTTTCATATTTCTTGCGACTGTCTCATTCATCTCACATCTCTTCCAGTTCTGTGGAGAAATCTGTAATGCTTACTTCATACACACAAAATTCCATTTAAAAAAAATAAAATATATATATATATACATTCAAAATTTGCATAATTTTCTGAACAATTTATTTATCTTCAAGAAAAAATTATTAAAAATTTGCACACATTCTACAATGCCCTGTAGACTAGAGACTGATTAAAATTCTGTACATATTCTTTATATTTGTGTAATTTTTTGAGTAAATAATTCATCTTTAAGAGCAAATAATTAAACAAAAATTGCAAATATACTGTAATATTTAACAAATTTGCTAAATTTTCTGAATAATCTTTATTCTTTTAAGAAGAATTTGCATATGTTCTATACTATTCCATAAGGGAAGAAGATTTAAAAATTTGCATATATTCTGGAATATTTTTGAAATTTACATAATATTCTGAATAATTTATATATTTTCGAAGAGAAAAGTTTAAAAATTCGAATATATTCTACGATATTCTATAGCAAAATATGATTTGAAAAGTTGCACACATTCTCCACGTGTAAAACGATTATGATTCTGCACATCTGTAACTTGCTTATTTTTTAAAATAATTTATTAATTATTAAAAAGAATTTACATATAATCCCGTAATATTTTCAAATTTGCATAATATTCTGAATTATTTATTTATTTTTAAGAAAAATTTGTATATGTTCTGTAACGTTAGATAGAAAAATAAGCAGAAGATTTTCACATATTCAACAATATTCATATATATTTTGCAATACTCTGTAGAAAAATATGATAAAAAATTTACATATATTCCATAAAAAGTGAGTCTGTACTTATATTTAGAAACAAATGGTTAAGAAATTTGCACATTTTCTTTAATATTTGCGTAATTTATTGAATAATTCATTTATTTTCAAGGGAGAAAAAATATTAAAATTTTGCTTATATTTAAGAAAAACTTGCATATATTCTGCAATATTTTATAGGAAGAAAATGCTTAAAAATTGGTAAATATTTTACAAACGTTTACTAAATAATTTATTCACTTTGATGAGAAAAAAATAAATAAAAAATATATTTAATAATTTGCAGATATTCTGTAATATTCTATGGAAGAAAATATTAAAAACTGTTAAGTACTCTGCAATATATTTCGAAGTTTGCATAATTTTCTGAATAATTTATTTATTTTTAAGAAAAATGTGTTAAAATGTGCACATACTCTGTAATAGTTTGTAATCTATCTTCATTTTTATTCCCATTAATCACGTCTTTATCAACAACTGGAAGGGGTTGAGTTTCTGGTGACCATATTCTCTCGTGCCAAACTGTTAAAGTAAAAATTAAATATGAATAAAAATCTATACAACTGCAAAAATAATAATAATAATAATAATTTGTAAATAATCAAATATTGCATGTTAATACAAAGAAAATTTTCTCTTAGATATAATGAATTTTTATATGCAGGGTGGTCCAAAAGTCAGTTGACCATTGTAAAGACTAAATTTTTGTATTATTTCAATACTTAAAAATAATACGAAATACGGTCTTTGTTAATACACTATTTAAATAATTACTTTTCGGTTAACTGACTTTTGGTCCACCCTGTATATGCATCTAAAACGTGCTCGTTTCTCTATCTTTACGTCAGTCCGACGTAATTTTGTAATTACTCGTTATAAAATTGTTAGAATGATGTCAAATTGACGTAATATTAGATACTAACTTAAGTCTGTGCGTTTAGTTGGGGGATATTACACGTTTTTACGTCATCGTGATGTCATATCTTCAATTTTATAAAGAGGATAGTATAAAAAATGACGTCAAATCGACGAAAAATTGTAATTTTTACAATATAAAAATGTTATAATGATGAAAAATAGGAGGTTTTAAGGCGAGCAATTAAAATAATTTTAAAAATTTTTTACCTTTATATCTTTAAAATATCACTTACAAAGCTCANATATACAGAAATTTTTAAATTTCTTAATTTATATTATGAAACTGAACCAAAGTTTATAATTATTAAACGTAATCAATTATTAACTACACTCAGTAATATACATAATGCATCTATTCAATGAGTGTTCCATATTTGCATACGATAGAGAATTACGTAGTTGTACTCTCTTATTAAGTTCAAGACATAATCTAATTCTAGTTTATTTTATTTTTAAAATAAGAATAATTTAGATGTAGGAAATTTATAAAAAATATATATACGAAACGTGAATCAATCGTTTAATAGTTTCGATAGACTGAAGTACAACACTGAAGAATTCATAAAAGTTTATAAATAATTATTGTTGCGGTAGGTAAGTTATTATCTATTGATCTATGGAAGGTAAAACCGATCTCCATCACTCTGCAAGATATATTGCACGAAGACTTATCGAACCACTGATGGAAATTCTAGAACGAAACTCATTTGTTTCTGTAGATCATCTGGTCGCTCGACTTATAGATATCACACACCCAATATTCTTCATCGCTTTTTCTTATTAATAGCAAAAATAAAATAAAAAATCTATGTTAAATCTTCAATATAAAACGTTAAAATTAACTACCTCACTTGTATTTTCTTTAATTATTATTATTATTATTATTTTGCGTGTGCCTTCGTGTATTAACGCTATGTTATAGTGCTCAATTATGCATAAAACTCGATATTTCCCATCGGTTTTTTTTCTGTTAATAATTTAGAAAATAGAGAACTATGTTAAATTTTTAATATAAAAACGTTAAAAATAATTATAACATTAATTTACATGCTTCATAATTTAAAGAACGTAGTCTGTGTCAATGCACAATTATGTATACAACTCGATTTTTCTTATTAATAACACAAAAAAATTGAGAAAATACATTAAATTTTAATTATAAATTATTAAAGATAATTGTAGCACTTGTATATCCTTTAATTATTACGGTTTTGTGCATATACTTAACGCTATGTCGATGCATAATTATGCATACAACTCAATATTTCGCATCGATTTTACTTACTGTTAATATAAAAAGAATTATAAAAAATAAGTTAAATTTTCAATATAAAATATTAAAAAGAATTATAGCACTAATTTAAAGTATTTAATTACTATAATTACTGTGCATGTAGTCTTCGTATATTAACTCTGTGTCAATGTACAATTACGTATTGCCATAGCGTTAACATATCGCAGCTTGAACCTATAGTTGTGCGCTATAGTTTATCGATATTTCTGACTTTCTTGAATTTTTAATACTGTTAAGAATTGAAGCGAATGTTTCTTTTAAATGCACTCATGTTTCTTGTACAACTTTTCTTTTACTTTATTAAACATTGTAGAGAGAGGAAGAAAATAGAAAATGCATTCTTTTACTTTTGTACTTATAAAAATAACATTAAAGAGAATCTTCATAACTTTTATTAAAGAAGAGAAAATAGGTAAAAGCGAAAAGTGACAACCACATTAAATTTCTTTATTTCTTTCTATTACTTTCTAGCCCCATTTTTTTCTTCTTTTCGTCATATATGCTTTTTATTAATATATAATAAGGGAGGCCCAAAACTCAGTTAACCATGTGTTGTAAAGGATTCGTAAAAATGTTTTTCTTCTACAAAATTGGAAGAAAATTTTAAAATAAGATAGTAATTGTGGTTTTATAACGGTTAACTGACTTTTGGGTGACGAAAATACTAAAATAGTTATTTTATAAGAAAATGTATTCAAATTTTTCAGTATTTTAAAAGAATTTTTGCAAAATTTACGCTTATTTTTATCAATTTATCACACGATTATTTAAGTATGAGTAAAATATTCTAGAGAATTGATAGTTTTTTTAATGATATAATAAAATTTTAAAGAATATATTAAAATTTTTAAAATATATTTAACATAATAACCTTATTTTTTTAACGAATAAAAATTAGTTTTTAATAATTGATAATACGTGAAAGAATATAAGAAAAAAAGGAGGAGCATTAAACTGTAATGAACTTTTAATTTATATTCAAATGAAAAATTTGATATAGAATACATGCGAAATTATTTATTTTTTAATGTAAATATTTAGAAATCATCCTCCAAAGATGGGGGAATATCTAAATAAACACATCTTAATCAATTCTGGTAATCAAAAGCGAAGACATGTAGCACAGAGAGAGACACAAACCATCTGCATGGGATCGTGTCGTAATTAATATACAACTTGTGTTGATGAATTTTTGACACGACACTAAAATGGTTCCAGATGGTATCTGGTAGATTGAATCGCCATGTCACTCCTTTCAAGAAAAATAAACACATTTTTGACCTCCAACCGGGCATTTACTCATTCTACTTTATGATAAACTGCAATATTTCGATACTGACACATGTTTCAAATCATTTACAGCGGGTTCATTTACAAAAATATGTTGTTTAAATCTAATATCGAGAGAATGTCAAGAAAAACATGTTGGAATATGATTGAAATATATAGAAATTGTTAAATTTATTTGCTTATAATTATACAATAGTTTGATTTTGACATGTTTCAACCATAGGGATAAGGAAATATTGTTTAAATCCACTAGAAACTAGATAAAATCAAGAAACTATGCCAGAAAATATATTAAATTTCTTAAGTAAATTGTTAAAAATCTATTAAAACTTGATTAAATTTCTTTATTTTTAATAATGTAATATTTTTCATTGCAATATATATAATAAGTATTTTTACCGTCATTTTCCGGTTCTATAGGACTTTTCTGCCTCTTTCTTTTAGTTTACTTCGAATCCGCATTCTCTAAAACTGTTCCGATCTGCAAGTTCTGAATTTTTTATTTTTATCCTTTGCTTCTAATGTGGCTTTATGTTGCCGATCTTACCCCGCTAGTCATGATTTCGAAACATTAAGTACAACCCTGAGAACAGAATGCCAAGCCACGNAGCAAAAATAAAATAAAAAATCTATGTTAAATCTTCAATATAAAACGTTAAAATTAACTACCTCACTTGTATTTTCTTTAATTATTATTATTATTATTATTTTGCGTGTGCCTTCGTGTATTAACGCTATGTTATAGTGCTCAATTATGCATAAAACTCGATATTTCCCATCGGTTTTTTTTCTGTTAATAATTTAGAAAATAGAGAACTATGTTAAATTTTTAATATAAAAACGTTAAAAATAATTATAACATTAATTTACATGCTTCATAATTTAAAGAACGTAGTCTGTGTCAATGCACAATTATGTATACAACTCGATTTTTCTTATTAATAACACAAAAAAATTGAGAAAATACATTAAATTTTAATTATAAATTATTAAAGATAATTGTAGCACTTGTATATCCTTTAATTATTACGGTTTTGTGCATATACTTAACGCTATGTCGATGCATAATTATGCATACAACTCAATATTTCGCATCGATTTTACTTACTGTTAATATAAAAAGAATTATAAAAAATAAGTTAAATTTTCAATATAAAATATTAAAAAGAATTATAGCACTAATTTAAAGTATTTAATTACTATAATTACTGTGCATGTAGTCTTCGTATATTAACTCTGTGTCAATGTACAATTACGTATTGCCATAGCGTTAACATATCGCAGCTTGAACCTATAGTTGTGCGCTATAGTTTATCGATATTTCTGACTTTCTTGAATTTTTAATACTGTTAAGAATTGAAGCGAATGTTTCTTTTAAATGCACTCATGTTTCTTGTACAACTTTTCTTTTACTTTATTAAACATTGTAGAGAGAGGAAGAAAATAGAAAATGCATTCTTTTACTTTTGTACTTATAAAAATAACATTAAAGAGAATCTTCATAACTTTTATTAAAGAAGAGAAAATAGGTAAAAGCGAAAAGTGACAACCACATTAAATTTCTTTATTTCTTTCTATTACTTTCTAGCCCCATTTTTTTCTTCTTTTCGTCATGTTCTTTGCCATCTGGTTTTCCTTTCCCTTTCCTCTGATTCTTTCTTCGCTCCACTATTAATCTTTTTTCTTTTTTTTTCTTTATTATTCTTTATTTCTACACTTTCCGAAATGAGTTACCCATCTTAAATTATCAAAGAAACCTTAACTGGTGTCAAATTTAATAAATACTCAGTACATAATCTTCTCATTCTCTTCTCTTGTACAGTACATAACATAAAAATATATTATTATTTACAAGAAACTTCTGTAAAGGTTTTTAACGCTTTTCAAGGAGTAAAAATGGAATATAATATTAAAAATCTTGGATTTTAAATACTTTTTTTCTTGATTTAATACACAGCTTGATAAATAAAAAGACAGGAAAGCGAATAATCTTTTTTTTTTCTTCTTGTATATAACAAAA